TCCCTATTTTACAACCATTCCATTTGTTACGTACATTTCAACTTTCTTCTCTTTCTTCTCTTTCTTCTCTTTCTCTAATTCTCAATAATCTCCCTTCTCTTTTTACTATCTGTCTTTTTACCTCATACTCCTTTTCCCTATTTTACAACCATTCCATTTGTTACGTACATTTCAACTTTCTCCTCTTTCTTCTCTTTCTTCTCTTTCTTCTCTTTCTATAATTCTCAACAATCTCCCTTCTCTTTTTTGCTAGTATCTGTCTCTTCACCACATACTCCCTTCCTCTCTTTAAAACCACCCCCTCTGTTACTCCCACCCCTACTATTCTTTCTTTTCTTCACTCGTAGGAATTCTTAGAAATTGTAGAAAATTGTCTGTGGAGCAAAACTTAAATTACCTATTGATGAGAAGATAAACGGTATAATTTAAGTTTTCATTTAAAGCCCCTCTGCACTTGTTTGGCCAGGAGAGATTAGACCTCCCTGCATGGTCACTGACAGGTGGTTATCTCGTCAAATCAGCTGTAATTAACATAAGAAAAAGGGGACCATGGGACTCAACGGTAACCGATTAGGCATTGTTTGCTATATAGAGGGCGCAAGTAGCTATAAGTAGTGCAGTAGGGCTTTAACAGAATTTAGAAATGAGGAGGACCATACAGCATCCCTTGACAAGAGACAATGAGGATTTGACAGGTTTAAAGCAAGCAAAGTGCAAATGAGTTCAAGCTGGAAGCGAATCCTTCTTTATTTGCACTTGAACTGGTCTGCACTCCGTCACTCAGTCAGGAAGCCTTCATCAAGACTCTGATGACTGGAGGGGAAACGAAGGGATGAATGTGCGACAAGAGAGAAGAAGAGTCCAGAGACGAACCACAATAATGACTGCTTTAACACTCTATCCGTTTATACACACAGAGCGGATGATAGAAGGGCCTAGTCTTTAGGCTCAGACTCTTATTTGTTTTTAACATACACTGACCAAACGAGAGGGAGAACAGATTGTTTCTATTCTGAATGATGGCATTTTCCTTCTCATACAGTGTTACTTCTTTAATATGTAAAGAGAAGAAAGAGATAAGAATGGAGGGTTAACATAGTGCGGACTAAATTTGAATCGAAAGCATCTCATGCTGTCTGAATTGATGGTTATGATTATTGAGAAAATGAGAATTTTGATATGAACCTGTGGCATAATTTTCAACTTTTAAATCTTGAGAAAGGAGAAGAAAGAGATAATAAGGGACATGAAGATGGTCCAGACTTTCTTTAACTTGGTAAATTTAAATCAAACACAACTCAAATGAGACATTCTGTCTGAGACAATGATTATGATTACCGGTATTGGGGAAATGAATTTTGATACTTAAAGTCTGTGACACCCATGTTGAAATTAAACCACCACCAACAGCAACAGCAATATATCATGTGCTGAGAGTCAGAAGGATGTTAACTCATAAACACTTAAAGATGAAGTTGAGTTCTGGTCATGTGACTGCATTGTGAAAGAAACGTTGTGGAATCGACCAGAAAAGGTTGATCATCTAGCATATAAGAATTTTTGTGTATTGCAAGGTTCTGGAATCATCAAAATGATAAGAAATTTGGAAAAGTCTTGGTAAAGTTACAAACACTGTACACAGAAAGATGTACATGGGACTACACGAACACGTGGCGTAAAAATCCTACCCCCGAGTTTTACGATGTTACATGACATATTCAGAATATGAAGGCATTTGAAGAGCCATACTTTTCAGGGAACATGTCTTATCTGATGTTCTTCCACACTTGCATAATAAGAATGATAACGCTCACAAATTATTTTTCACCTCTTCCCAGAACTCAACCTTCTCTATAATCTTTATAGAGTTAAGACCCTTCTGGCTCTCAGCAGACATTGTTACCATGTTTTTGTGCAGAGCAGAGACTTTGTGGGTGTAAATTTGGATTAGATTATCCTGTGGTTACCCACCCAAAGAATACTAGGTTTCAGATCCCCTGGATATAAATGAATGAAAAATAAAAACATCTTCTCTGGCTTTCCATAAAAATGGTTTTAACAACAAATTATGATAGAATTACAATCTTATTTAACTTTGGAAGTTCATGTTGGGTACAATGTTTTTTGGATACTGTTTGTCGCGGCCTGTGAAAAGTTCCTGTGGTTGTTAAAGTCTTGTTTATACATGATGCCATGGTAACCAGCCACAGTTTGCATGCTTAATCATATTGCGCTTCACAGTCTGATGTTTTATCACACCGATTTCTTCGAACTTTAAAATCTGTTTACTTTCACACTACATTGGATGGATGTTTAAATTGTCCTAACAGCAAAATGTGTCTGTGCATAATAGTAGTTATAATAATGATAATAATAGTGGGTTGTTGTATATAGCGCTCATGTCTGTCAGACATGACACTCCAGGCACTCCACAATTATTACTCAGTGTCCAATAATCCACAGTTGTGCTGAATGATATTAGCTATGCTCACAGGGGACCATCATAGTTTTAACTTTAAGTTTACAAATCCTCAACGTTTCAAACTACGATTCACTAACAGATAACGAGGGTTCACATTAGTTCACATGGAAACTAAACAACAAGTATTCAAATTTTGTTAAAGTACAAACTATGCATAAATGATATTAGCCATGTTCACTGGAACCATCATAGTTTGAATCTTCAAGTTTGCAAAACCTCAGCGTTTCAAACTGTTTCACTAACAAATGACAAGGGTTCACATGGAAACAAAACAACAGGTATTGTTTTCTTTACAAAACAAGCTAGGCCGAGTAGATGTTGTAACTAATAGCTGGTGTAACCTCAAAGTTACTTATATGTCTACATGACACATAACACTGTGTAAGAATCTGTCAAGGCTCGTAGTTAACGGCGTCAAGTTTAATTTTAGGTGCGTTAAATATAAAGTAATTTGTGGTTTATGACTTCAAGTAAACATAAAATTTTGAAGTCACAAGTGTGTCTGCACAGTCCATAACTAAGATTACCTCAAATTTTAAAACCATGAGCTAAACTTTAAGTTTACAGACTCTTGTGTGAACCTTATTATTGTTTAACGGTAATATGGAAGTCACCCAGTCTATGCGGGTGAATGGTGAAAATTTCCTGATAAACATACCATGAACTTGATAAAGTTCATCTTCTGGATGTCTAAAATCAACCAGAAGATGTAAATGAGGAGGAGTCGTGGTATAGTGGTTAATTCACTGGACTCCTAATCCAAGGGTTCAGGGTTCAAACCCCAGCCCGGCACTCATGTCTTTTGGCAAGGCACTAATCCACCTTTGCCACTCTCCACCCAGTTGTGAATGGGTGCCTGGCAGTTGCTTGGGAAAAGGAACATCCATCAATATTGGTCCAGGTGTGGTTTGTTTAGTGTGTAAGTTAGTGAACCGAACCACAGAAAGTACATTTCTGTTCTGTGGGAGTTTGGTACAAAGTCTATGGCAGACAGGATATTTGCATATTAACGCCTATAAACATTTGAACTTCATGTGATCAATGAAGTGTATATGAACTTCTATTTTTTATCCTATCAACTTTCGTTTTCTTTCACAGGAATAGCTTTTTCCATACAGGGGTCATATAGAACCACATTTCCAATTATTGTATTTATGGTGCATGTATGATTGAAAACTTTCTTGAGGGAAAATGAAATTGTTAGTACCAAGTAAACGGGAGGGGATCTCGCAAGATATGTCACAGAGTTGCCAATTTGTGTTTGATTGATTGCAACTTCAAAAATTCATAACCTTCCTATTTATAATCAGAATTTGCGCTCAAACTTTCAATGACCTGTTCCTCTCATTTTTCTGCTTCAATTAAAACCAACTTAATATCAGGGTGGACTTTCCCTTTAATAGGGTAACATAATGTCATGTATCCTATCATGAATATCAGAAGTAGCAGTCCAGTCATGATTGGCGCTCAATTAAGAAAGTTATAATGACTTCCCTTTCAGACATTGCCTTGGAAAGGGTCTCCTCCTTCATTTTAATCTAGACCAGAAATGATTTCCCCTCATTAACCCCATTAAGTACTAAATTCCTTCATTTCCGTGGGTTCAAATCGTTATGTGCCATTCCAATCATTTCACAGTGCCATAATTAAAGGATAGTTATACCAAGGTATTTGAGATTATTCACATGTTTCCACAATGAATCTATACATGTGTTGAAGAAGTTCATTAAGACTGGAAATTGGTGATTTTGATATCTGCAAGCTTGGCTAATTAGCAACTGTAACAATTAGCCACTTAATTATAAGGATTGCTGAATGCCTTAAATTACATAAGACCCTCTTAGGATGCAATAAGAGTACAGTTCACATCTTTTGACTACTAGACAGAATCACTCATCACGTCTTATTACTCAGCAAAAAGAAGAGGTCAAAATAACGACCCTTCCCCCTCCCAAGTGTCTCCTTCACACTACCATGTAGGTCACTGGGTAGCATCCTTCACCATGCATCCCACCCCCTCCCATTGCCCCTTTCACATTCTCATTTTCATTCTTCATTTGAAAATTTCACATAATTTGTTCCCCTTTATTCACATGAAGAGTACTTTGTGCAAGATGAAAGATCTGAAATGTGCATGGTTCAGCTACTAGGGTGAACAAGTTAATTCCTTGTATGAATGGACATGATTGAGTTGAACTGAATTCATACACATGTAGTTTAAAATACTAACCGACTCTGGGCCTCTATCAAACATCATAATAACAACTGAAAAGTAGCTAAAGAGTATTGGGAATATGATAGCAGATTTCAATACGATATGATGCAAAAAACATTAAAATTCCCTGTTGAAAATCAAGTATAGAGTTTGAATTTCACCCTGCAATGGTATAATTATTATTTAATAATGATTGTGTAATATCTTAGTGTGCGGAATGAAAGTATCTTATAAAAAGTTAAAGATACAATTTTAAATTTCAAATTTTCAAATTTGAAACGTTTGTCTTTTTCTGTTTTTCAGGGCAATCCTACACAGGCAACTGGCAGCTGATAAGACGGACAACGATCAGCGCACCTCGCTACGTCTCCGGCTACCAAACACCCCGGCAGAACAGTGGCGGTCAGAACCCCATCAATACAGGTACCCGGACGGTCGTCCACACCACGAGACAGATCCCCTCCAGGACGGCTATCCATTCCACCGGTCAAGTAATCAGGCAGAACATCGGCAGAGGACAGGTCCAGGTCCAAAGCTCCGCCCTGAACAGCCCCAGGACGGGCGTGGTCTCCTACCAGCAGGTGCTCTCCAGGCAGAACCCTGCCTCGTCCACCGGCTATAGTTGTAGCTCCAGGGGGTGTCACTACCGGTGTCAGGTTGGAAGTAATGGTCAGGTGCAGTGTATCTGTCCACCAGGATACATGCTGGGATCGGATCAGAGGAGCTGTGCAGGTGAGACCATCAAAAGAGGATTATTTTAAACTCTCTGAAAGGCACCGTTTAACAATGTTAAATCTGAGATGCACGGCCCTACGTCTTATCAGTGTCTGTGATATGGTGTAATATTGAAGCCCTAAAAAAAATTGCGCTTCAAAATGATCAAGAAGTGTCTCAAAAAGTACAAATCTTTGAGTGACCGGTTTTAACATACTCCTTTCCCAATAGACTGTAGTGTTATAAAAAACTGTTGGGGAAAAAGATAACAATTTTAATCATAAACATCTTGATAATCAGACAGGTGATTGGCTGGTAAAAGTCATGGGATTCCTGAACTAAATCCAGGATTTTTTTTAGATTCTGAGGCAATGTTACTGAGTCACTTTAAGATAGCAACCACATTAAGGTGATAAAAGAATTTAATATTCAAATTTAAGCAAAGTGAATGAAAAAAGGGCTTTTCAATCAATGAATTAATTAGGCAGAAGGATAAGTCGGTCAGTTGTTCAGTAGATGTCAATCAACCATTCAATTAACTAAATACTCTATACCATGATCCATCAACAAGACCCATTAAATCTTAATGAATTAAACAAACACATAATCAAACAATTAACATTTCTTTGAATGAATGAAATAATCAGTCAATCGATGAAAATATCAATCAACAGAGCTCTCCTGAAAAGGTCATTTATCGTTAGCCACAGGCACCTGATATCCAATTAGAAATGTATGCACCTCGTCTGTTTGACCAAATAAGTCTCTTATAATCTATTGTTCGGCAGAGATGCAGACTATTGATAATTGATATTTCCTTTTGAAGACTGTTTAATGGCCCAGTAATAAGAAATGATGATAATCACACCCAATCCAAGAATTGAGATGAAAAAGGGAGTCTCAATATGTCATCATGATTAAGGATATTGTATAATCCTAGAGGCTCCACTAGACACTGCTGACATCGGTGTCACAGTGTCGAAAGGGTCATACTCCGATTGAGCAACAAAGTTTGCAGCATCATGTAGAGGTGTCGTGGTCGCCGAGTGGATACGTTGCCGGACTGTCGATCACAAAGTCTGCGGTTCGAGTCTCGCCGCGGCACTAATGTCCTTTGGCAAGACATTGATCTACATTTGCCACACTCAACCCGGGTGATGTTAATGGGTACCTGGCAGGAATTAATTCCTTGAAATGCTGGAGCGCTGTAATGGCAGCTAGGCTAAAGCCGGGGTAATAATAAATGCGCCTTGGAATAGAATTATCTAGATAGACGGCGCTATAGAAATGACTATTATTATTATTATTATTATCATCATATTGCTGGTTCAGACTATAGGAAATTTATATGAACCTTGTTATATATAAAGAATTTCTTATAAAGAATCATCATATAATGAAAGGAGAATAGGAAAGATATTGTGTAAGAAACGCCATGTAAAAAAAAACAATTTGAAAGAGGTCAGATGGCATGACAACTGGCCAGTCATCAGTGTATGCTCACAATAGGTCACACCCAATTATTTGATTTAAACAAAAATTTTACGATATGACATTCAGGACTAGAGCGTGATCCTGATTCTTTATCAAGTTTCCATTTGGAAAGATTCTGGGGCCCATTTTATAAAACTTGTTATCTAAACTGAAGTTAACAATTGCTAATTTCTTTTGACAAATTTGCTCTCAGCCAATCAGATGCCATGATTTCATTAGCTTTTACCAGTAGCTTGTAACTTGTTACTGATATCAAGTTTTATGAAACGGGGCCCTGAACCATGCATTTTGTTATACCACGTTTTATTATACGACTTTCTTAATACATGTTCAGACTAGGCGAAGATCAATTACTCACCAAACAGCAACATATATACAATTCTCATATAGCTATACGATTAATTCTGGTAATCTTAATGCAGGGAAAACTAGAAAAAGAAAATGTGCAGCCTCATAGGTTATTAGTACAGCTTTCATCATGCTGATCAAGCAGTTCCTCAGAGGGAGAGAAGTTACATCATTAATATTTCCTTCTGTCCATTCTAATTCATCCTGTATCTTTGACATTTTCACTGTGCATCTGTTAAGAGATATCGTGGAAGGGGGGGGGGGGGGAGGGCTGGCTAATGTGCAATCCATTTCAAGATGTTCCTCTCATTTATGAAAAGACGAATGACATGACTCTTTTGCCTATCTTCTAACTTCTCTCTTCAAATTCGGAGAAAAGTGCACATCCCATGCATTATTTAATTACGATTTTGAAGTGCTCACCTTTTCTACTCTGCCCAAATGTTATACCCCTCTGAAGCAGTCTGATTATATTAGACGGTCCTAAGTAAATTTTACTGCATCAAATATTTTAGAAAATTGGTTCTTAACTTTTCTGTCATTAGACTGGCCAAGTCCAGGTGAATTCATAACATTCATGAATAGTTTGCTACATGATACTCAGCCCGTTTTAACTACTTGTACCTAATACTAGAGCCATCAGAAAAATATAATGCTGTCTTGATCCAAAAACTTTGATATGAAAAGACAGATAATGCTTGACTAATGTCCTTGTGACCTTATACAAAATTGTTATATTCCTATAAGAAAGAGCCCCAGAGACCTACATCATGCACTATTGCTCTATTAAGGCCCTGAGGAATTTGAAGAATCAATTATGATTAAAATCGATATATCCCAAATCGATAGTTGACTTTCTCTTTTTTGAACCCATAACCTTGCAGTTTGAAGATCATTTCTTGGCCTTGCATGAGCAAATCATTCTCTTTCTCTCATAATCAGGCAGTTTCAATACCATTGCTCTAGTTACAAAATAGCTCAAGTCACCATGTCCATATCCATCTGTCATTCTTGCACCATTTGAATTCTGTCTCAGTCTATGTCAACCTATGTCTGCCACTCAGGCTGTCTGCAGTCACACATTGTTTATTTTGCCAAAGAGAAAATGTCAACAAATTTAAACTTGAGGTTGGTTTAAGAACCAATTCTATGTAATTGAGAAGATGTAAACGGTCCTTGACTTAAAATTGATTGAACTTTCAAAGAAATTCTTCCCCTGAAATTGAAATTGTAATGTAAAACTATCAGGTCAATGGCAACTGGAAAACAAAGTTTCAAAGATATTTTGATGAAGATTGAGTATTGTTTGTCCCGTGTTCCATTTCCTTTTTTTTTCTGTGTTTATCTCAACCTTTTTGGGTACAACGTATATTTAGAAAAGTATTTATGGAAGCACTGTATTTGTTTCAGTTTGTTTATGAATGGCTGTGCATGGTTGGGGTAGAAGAATAAAATTCATAACCAGCAGTCATCGAGAGGAGAATGAGGAAATTATGAGCTGAACAATCTTAATTCTTTCAAGACCCAACCATACAATTAAACGAAAATGATTACATTCAGTCAAGAAATATATACGATTACATAATTACAAAATAATGCATGAAAAGCTCACGCTTAAACTAGAATGTGATAAAACAATGTAATAAGACGACATATATACAGACTTTCGATTTCATTTTCATTTTATTGTCCAACAAAAATTTGCTTTGCTTACATTTTACATACAACTTTACATAACATAATATACATAGATGGCGTAGCAAATATAGATATCATGATATAGATAGATATTACAACATATTAGACAATATGAATACAGCATATATGCAATAGATTTATTTATATCAAGGAGAAAACAGTTTAAAACTTTAAGATAGATAACCTGTTTTATGTAAACATTACAATTTATGTCTTGAATTCACCCAAGTATATTTGTAAAGCGCTTAGAGACATTGGTATTAAGCGCTATATAAAAGCTAAATATTATTATATTATTATTAATAAACTGGAAGCCTAGTAAAACACCTTCACCATCACTGAATGTATGCATTTTGTTTTCTCATAGATATTGATGAGTGTGGTCGATATCCAGGTCTCTGTCAGCAGGGATGTCAGAACACCCTGGGAGGATACCGGTGTAGCTGCTCAAGTGGGATGCTGACTGCTAACAGGAGGACATGCGCTGGTGAGTGGTTGCATGATGATGATGATGATGATGGGGTGGTGGTGGTGGTGGTGGTGGTGGTGGTGGTGGTGGTGGTGGTGGTGGTGGTGGTGGTGGTGGTGGTGGTGGTGGTGGTGGTGGTGGTGGTGGTGGTGTGGTGTTGGTGGTGGTGGTGATGGTGTTGGTGGTGGTGTTGGTGGTGGTGGTGGTGATGGTGATGATGATGATAATGATGATGATGATGATGATGGTGGTGGGGGTGGTGATGATGTGTTGGTATTTCAATGGTGATGGTAGTAATGATAATGATGTGATAGTAGTGGTGGTGATGGTGGTGATTATGATGATTGTGATGAAGATGGTGGTGTTACTGATGGTGATGTCGATGGTAATGATGACTGTAATGGTGTTGATGGTGGTGGTGGTTATGATGGTCATTGTGTTGGTGATGGTAATGATGTTGTTTGCAATGTTTGTTTATCATGATAGTGACTTTGTCATCATCAAGCAATGATGTTTAAAACTTGACTGTTTCATATTGCTTTTCCTCCCTTCTCCCAGGAGGATGCCAGAGTTGCAATTCTGACCCAAGACCGAACCCACAACCACAACCAAACCCAAGACCATACCCCTTTCCCAACACCAACCCCAACCCCAATCCCAATCCCAATCCCAATCCCAATCCTAATCCTAATCCTAATCCTAGCCAAGGATCTTGTCCACCAGGCTTCATTCCAAGGAGAACAGCAGATGGGATCCAGTGCATTGGTAGGTACAGGTTTTCATTCATTGTATTCAGTGTGCTACTCATTAAGCAGTGGCATAGGTTGAGTCTAACCATTAAGGATTGAGGGAGCATTGGAATGATGGGTGGGGGGGGGGGGCAACGGTTTTTACTAGGGAGTGGAGAATGTGCATACATTGTATGCGGGTAAGCCTGAAAACGAAGACGGGGGTAAATATATATATATCTGTAAAGCGCTTTGAGAGGGCCTTCGGTCCTGACAAGCGCTGTATAAGAACTAGCTAATATTATTATTATTACTTTGAGAAAGAAATGCAGATCTATAAGCCTACTGATAAGGATGAATAGCATTAGATAGTCCAGTCATCTTCTCTCATCCTCTTTCCCTTCCGCCTTTCCCCCTTTTCTCTTTTCCTGCCTTTTTCTGTCTCTCATTTTTTTGTTTGGGGTGGGGTGGAGGGATGTGGCACGTGAAATAAGTTATAGAACATTCTCCTAAATGACTTATTTTTAAAACAAGCAAGGACATGCACATTGGAGGTTAATGAATCCAGTATGTCATCTGGTTCCTGAGTTCTGCTGCGAGTTTTGATCTGTCTAGATGAAAGATGGTTCACGGAGATCCAGTCTTCTCAGGATTAATTGGTCGACGATAATTTGGCAGTGGCGGTGTCCTACGATGACATTTAAACCATGACAGAGAATGTATAACATGTGTGTAACTATGGTACTGTCTCTGTTTAGGGCCCGTTCAGCCTTTTCAATTTTATGGTTCTGACTGTGCCTCACGAACGTTTCTCTTCATGCCTTTTGAATGGGATTCCGCATGATCTTTCTCGTCTGAACATATATGTATGATTATAACTTGTACTGAAACAGGAATTTTGTCCTCATATTTGTACTGGCGTATTGGAGTTTTAAAGTTTATTTCATATATATTCAGTTTAGGAATTTACACAAACATTGTCTTTTTTATGCTTATATAATCAGAATGTCGTTAAATCTGATCTTCCAATTGACACCCTTTTGCATCTCGAATGACCTTCATTTTAAAGCGAACACCACAGACCAGTAGCTGCCTGTATCAGACCATGGGGGTGTTTGACAAAGACTAAGATCAACTTTAAGTTGGACTTAACTATGGCAGGCCTTTCATACCATTGTTTGCTCTTAACATTTACTGGCATTGGTCTCTCAAGGGATGTATTAATCATGGTCACAAATCTACAGAACTTACATTTTTTGATAGTTCATTATTGAAGGAAAAAATGTTTTCTGAAGATCATGATTGAGAGACCAATAGTAAGAGCAACTAGTGGCATGAATGGCCTGCCATAGTTAAGTCCAACTTAAAGTTGATCTTAGTATTTGTGAAACACTCCCCTGAGTCACTAGGGTGTGAACACACCCTGACAATCTCTTTCCCATGGTTGGTTTTCATTAGTGACCTTATTGCGCAAGAGGAAATGAGGAGACGTAACCCGCTGTAACTTTCATCTTAAAATACTGTCCTTTTTCTCTCCGATTGCAACTATGCCGTCATTACATCTGCAAATCATTTTATGCCTACCTTGCAGCAAGATAACCTTTTCCTTTTTCACATTGGTTTTTAGTTCTTACTCAGTTGTCAGGCCTGAAATGTGATGACCGGTAATGATAGCTTTAAGTTTCCCACACAATTTTTGTAAAATGTTTGGTATTGTAAATCTGCCCACTGATGATTCCATCCATTCAATTATGAGATATTAGGAATTAGTTCTGTCTTGAGAATGGAGGAAAGGTTTACAAATCCTAATTGCGATAGGGATTTATCCTAATTGCGATAGGGATTTATCCTAAGCTGCATAAAAAATGACAGTTCATTGTTGCAAAAGTGGTTTTACTTGGACACCTTGTAGAAGATCAATTCTGTTCATTCATAAATAGGACGTAGAGGTGTTGTGGTAGAGTGGATATGTCGCCGGACTGTCGATCACAAGGTCCACGGTTCGAGTCCCACCGCGGCACTAATGTCCTTTGGCAAGACATTGTTCTACAATTGCCACACTCAACCCAGGTGATGTAAATGGGTACCTGGCAGGAATTAATTTCTTGAAATGCTGGAGCGCTGTAATGGCAGCTAGGCTAAAGCCGGGGTGACAATAAATGCGCCTCGGAATAGAATTTCTAGATAGACAGCCCTATAGAAATGCCTATTATTATTATTATTATTAGGACATTTAATTGGGTTCACATGACAGTCTATGAACGTTAAGTTCAGGTTAAAGTTATCTTGAAGATAGGGACTGTATGGACACACCCATGATAAAGAAATGTAAGTTTACTTGACATTATCAAACGCAAGCGATCTTAATATTAGTGTGATAACTGTGAGAAGTTTGGTTCTCAATTGATGTTTTGTGCCATGTGGACGCAATTAACTGTTGGGTTACATCAGCTTGTAGTTTATATGAATGCTTTCCACCGGCTTGTAGTTAACTTTGAATACTCGTTGTTTCAGATCCATGTGAACCCTTTTGTTGTCAGTGGATCATTTTTTATAACCTCAAGGTTTCTCAAACTCAAAAGTTTAAAGCTATGAGGGTTTTGTTTGAACATGGCAATATTCTATACATATGAATAAAAAGAATGAAAAAAAGCTCAGAAATCATTTTCACCTTAAGCAGTACTAATTCTTATCTTTAAAAGAAGAACACTACTGCTGTTTGGGATTTGTTTACATTACATTTACATAAGATTTGCGGACTGTAGCAACTAATGTGAAATTCCCCATTGTCTCTTTATGGTCGTAAAGTGACTGAAACTACACATAAACTTCTTACAGTTCATTGATATTTGCAATTATGAGTCATATATCCCATTAACATTTTGGGAAATAAACAGGGACTAATTGCAGGCATTTTCACTTACTGGCATGATTTATTGAAATTAAGAGTGGAGTATTCTTCATATATATGATTTTTAGTATCTCTTTCCAGAATAATGAACAAAATTATTTGTTATTGCTCGTTGCGAAATTTTTGACATTTTCTGAATGTCAAGGTGAAGTGGGAGGCAGAGTGGTTTTTGTTGTACAGAATGTCTCTCCACTATGAAAAGAAGATATGGGTATTAAAGCAGACATCAAAGAAATAGAAAGAGAGAAAGAGAAAAAGAGAGAAAGGGAGAAAAAGAGAGAAAGGGAGAAAAAGAGAAAAAGAGAAAAAGAGAAAAAGAGAAAAAGAGAAAGATAGAAAGAGAGAAAGGAAGAAAAGAGAAGAGAGAGAGAGAGAAGGGGGGAGATGGATAGATTACAATATGAAATAGTAGGGAGAAGGAGAGAGGGAGAGAGAGAGAGAGAGAGGGGAGGGGGGGGGGGGGAGAGAGAGAGAGAATGCACTAGAGAGGAAGGAGTGAGGAGGGGTGCGGCTATTGAGAAGATGCCAATTAAATATTAAAAAATCACAAGAACATTTATATTTTGACAGAATCACTTCAAATCGTTTTGAAATGATTTGATTAAAAACAAACTTTCAAGGAGAGACATGTGTAGATTCCCTCATTCAGAGAAGATCAAAGTTAGAAGGGGATATTGAAGTTGATTAAAGAAATATGCTATGATTACTTGTCTCGCCTGCAGTATGTATCATTCATCATGATAATGCTCTTGAATTTAACTTACTCAGACTCTCCATATTACTCTACATGTAAGAACTTTTGACTCTCTTAAAGGGAAACACTTCATATTATTGTATTTCTATAGGTACTTATAGCGAAGAAGAAGAAGAAGTATGTTCCCTTTTTGCAATGAATGCCAAATTTCTTAAAGTAATTTTTGTAATAGAGAGGTCTTGTCAAATTCAATTTGGTAGATTTGTGATATTTTTCGGAGAAATAACCCATTAAAAGAATCTGTTGAATTATATTTGTCATTATCGCTACTGGCCAGTTGTACAGCTTCCCCTCAAAAGGACCTAAAACATTTAAGATGTTCTGCATGCACCTTTTATGCACGTTTTTATTTTATCCTTTATTCTCTTGATACTCAACAGATTAGACTGCCAGACAGCGTCTTTTGAGGTTGATTAAATATTTTATACTGATACACAAATGTTTCATTTCAGGTGATTGGTACACTTGTAGTAGGTCTATGCTTTAACACACAGTCAATGCCCTTGGGGCTCCAATCAGACAAGATTAGGGACTTTTAGATTCGCACAAAGACATTGGGGATTGCTACGATCGACGTCCTTTTAATGCACTGCCTTGAACGGACGTCACACGTATCAGTCCACACAAATCTAAAAGTCCCTAATGTGATGCATACATGAACTATTAACATGGCCTTGACTTTGTACCAACAGTAGAAGGCTATTTTGTTTTACACCCTGACTTTAATAGTTATCCATTATCCAATCAGGCAGAATTTCCTCAGACAATTATCCCAGAACACCCACCCAGACGGCAAAAATTGCTGTCAATTTTCTCACCATAAATAAGGATATTGACACAGGCGACTAAACTAGTTGGGGAATGTTCAAGTTAAAAGACATACAAAATGTTCTGCATACATTGAAATGAAATTGAAGAAAAATCATTTTCACTCTCATTCAAAAAATTTACGCTAAAAGATACTACTCCAGTACATTTTATGTTGTGTTGCTTGCTTGGGGAATTGATGGAAATGAGACTGAGATGAATATTCATAGGTTGGATAGAGTGCAGGTGGTAGTCTATTTCAATGAAATTAAAACATATTAAACTGTAGATTAAAATGGTTAAGTATGCCTTCTGATTGTGGTCGAGTGGATACGTCGCCGGACTGTCGATCACAAGGTCCGCGGTTCGAGTCCCGCCGCTGCACTAATGTCCTTTGGCAAGACATTGATCTACATTTGCCACACTCCACCCAGGTGAAGTAAATGGGTACCTTATATGTACTTGTTAGAGAAAGGTAGAAAAGCTGATTTTTGTAGTCTTACATTCAACATATGTCATGGACCAATAGCACACAAACAGAAATCCTATTTTGAGAGTTCATCTT